GTTTTTCGACCGAGGTGGAGAGGTCGACTTGTGTAATTGTGACCGAGGTGGATCGCAGCCGAGGCAAAAAGGTAGACTTGTGGCATTGTGACCGAGGTGGATCGCAGCCGAGGCGGAGAGGTAGACTTGTGGAATTGTGACCGAGTTGAGCCTCCAAAGACGCCGAGGTGGTCTGAGAGTATGCCAAAGCGAATTGAGCAGCCGTCGAGGTGGAGTTCACCGAGGTTGGTTTTGTCGTAGTGGACGCGATGGTTTTTTTTTTGTTTTGTTTATCTTGAATTCTGGTTACGAGGTGATCGCTACAAGGTGAACTCGAGGTGGAGTCAACACTGTAGTGATGCCGAGGTGAAATTTCCGGCATGGTGGAAAGGAAATAGTGAAGCTGAGGTGACTTCGCTGTCGCGACACCGAGGACGATTCCGTTGTTGCTATTGATCTTCGAGGTTGTCTAACGAGGTGAGTTCAACAGGTGACGAGGTGGTCCATTCTGAGTCTGATGCTGGTAGCGCGACGCACCAAGTCTCTTTTGATGTATTGTTTGATGAGAATCTAGATGAGGCAGGGAATTCATTTTGTTTAGAATTTATATTTTTTGCTGGGTTATTGATGATCACTTTGAATTACGGGAGAGTCACCATTGACAAACTCAGTCAAAAAATGAATAAGTTATAGTGTCAAGACCAACGATCTGTTTGTTGGGTTTTAGGTGAACATTTTTAGTGTACGGGCGAGCCGCCATTGACACGCCCGCTCCAAAAATGGACATGCCCAACGACTTGTCTCTTGGGTTTTTGGATGATTAATTCAGTTTACCGGCGAGTCGCCTTTGACACGTGTGCTCCGAAAATAAACATGTTACGTAATTAAGACCAATATCTTGCTTATTGGGTTTTCTGATGAACATATTTGGTTTACAGACGAGTTTTCTTTTAACGAGTCTGCTCCATAAATGAACATGTTATCGCATTGCGACCAACGATTTGGTTGTTAGATTTAGAATGATCATTTCGGTTTACGGAAACATTTTCAATAAACATCTCTGCTCCTATATTGAACATATAACGATATAACCAGCGTTTTTCTTGCTAGGTTTAGAATGAACATCTCGGGTTACGCATGTGTTACTCTTTGAACACACCCGCTCGATAATGGTCATATACAAATTAGTATAGCGCGCTTTGTAATCCTACTAAGGGTGTAATTGTCAGATCTGTAGTATATGTAAGAGTTCGTTACTGTGGCCAACAACAACGGGAGTGAAATGAGATGTCAATTTTGTTAAGACTTTAGTAATCCATAAAGGATGTGAGTAAGATGCCTGATTTGTGAAGGCTTTAGTAATCCTAAAGGATGTGAGTAGGATGCCTATTTTGTTAAGGCTTTAGTAATCCGTAAGGGATGTCATTTGAAGACTTTTGTTTCAAAAATTTTCTTTAATTAGACATAGAGTCT